GCCATGTCTAATATAAATTCGCAGTAAGTAACGGAAATATGGATGGATGGTTGGACTTTTTCTCCTACAAGAATTGTTTGTTTTTATTATTAAAACAAGCCACCATTCATATTTTTTTAATAAAATGAATAATATCACCGTCATTTAATGTTGATTGTCGAACTAATTTTCAGCTCAAGACTTTTTGTATTTAATTAGAAATTCCGACTAAATGGGGCTGTCAATGAGGAAAACAGATTTTGATATTAACGTTAATATTATGGAAATTTGAAAATAACTTGTTTTTAAGCATAAAAAAAAGAAAATTTGTTTGTTTGTTGTGTAAGATGTAATTCCCACTCGTGAGAATACTGTTTTTAAAGCCCACTCGATGAAATAAAATTTCATCTTACACACAAACAAACAAATATCATCAGCACTTCTATCATCGAAATTCACCATACCCATCATCTAAATCATCATGGTGATAAAAATTATATTAACTTTCAACTCTATCATCATCATCATAGTCATCGCTTTATTACAAAACATCCTATGTCTGTTACAGTGTTACAGAAATGCTTTTCATCATTTGGAATTGATGATGATAATGCACCGTGATGATGATGTATAGATGATAACGATGGTGGTGTACTAATGAATATAATTATAAGGGTTAAAGATAATAATGATGATCGTGGTGGTGATGATGATGATGATGTAATGATGATCAGTTTTTGAATGACTTAACCTGTGTGCTATGTATAAAACATAAACATGCAATAATATAAATTGAATGCTTTATCCGCAGAAATGTGGCACTTTGACGTATACAGCTCACTTTAGTTGGGAGCTTTATTCGTTGCAGTAGTAGTTATGTTTCGAACGGGGAGCTATATTCGTTCAAAACTATCTGGGGCGTAATAGTGCCCAGTCAAATCGGATTTTAAAAGACACATCCTCAGAAACGAATAAAGTTTTCATTCTTAAGAAAGGTCAAACGTAAATTTTTAACACAATGAGTTTTTCAGCATGTAAGTCGCTCCTTACCTGAAAAAGTGGCGCTGATTGTGGAAGGTTTTTGTGTGATTAAAGTAGCAAAATGTTAACAAAAATATATTAACTCGCCATAAGTGTAGTAATTACAAACAAAAGCACAATAAGCAAAATATAGTTTAGGTAATTGGTCGATGAGTCATGTGCTGGAAATTTAAAACTGTACACTAACAAAAATACTTTTGAGAAATAAATCTGTCCTGGTACATAATGGGCCTTTAACGATTACCCCGTTTTCTTTGCAGATCTGATAAATGTAGATGTAAGTGTAGTTATTGACAGGAAATTACAATAAAAATTACTGTTTTGTCAGATTGAAACAAAAATAGTAAATCTGTTCAGAAACGTTTCTTCAGGTGGTTTTTTTGCAGATTTTGTTTTCAATGAAACAATCATCAATCTTATCTCGTTAAAATAAAGACACGAACTATTTAGCTAAATAACCCTTTTTTTTATTTATTTCAGAGATGATGGCTGATTTGATACGAACGTCTATGTTCTGTGACGTCAATAACTTCATTATAGAGGGTGACCAACAGTATTCTGGTGATGACTTGTATGATACCTGTTCTGTCAATTTCATGGAATTCATGACAAGGACATCTGACAATTTTGATGATGTTTCTATGGATACAGACGTGTTCGTCGAGCAGGAACAACAACAATTATGCCAGCAGACGACACCTCAGAATGACGTCACAGACAATACGTGTAAAGTTTCGGTTGCTACGCCTGAGATTTGCCAGAACTTTCTGTCACGTATCGCCGAAGCGTCAAAAGTTGATTATAGCACGTTCAATAATGAAGCCCCGAGTGATGTATTTTGTAACAATTATTTGCTTCCTGTAGTAGCGCAGAAGCAGACGATACTTGAACAGATACCAACTTGTGAGTCTAAACCGGAAGCAAGCGCCAAATTCGCACGGCCTCCATATTCATACGCGGCATGTGCAGTTGCCGCCATGTACTTGATAGGAAATAGTTCCGCATGTGCTAATGATATCTTAGATAAAATTTGCTCAGTGTTTGATGATATGAAAGCTTGCAACAGACAACAATTCAGAAAACAACTTTGTAAAACCCTGAGAACTAACAAAATGTTTGAACAAGTCAAACAAGGCATTTTCCGTGTAGTGCCCGGGTGTGTTGACAAGAACGTGTTTCATCGACAACCATGTGTAGATTCGAAACGAAAAGATAAATACGCAGACACAATCCAAGAACACTTGAAAATCCCCTTCATGTTGGAACATTTTGGTATCGAACAAGTCCGAAAGGAGAAAGCGCCCCGTAAAAGGCGCAGGATTGTTGTTAGTGAATTATTGAAGTATCGTTCATCAAATGGAAAATCTCAGGTGCAATCAGTAAATATTGAAGATGAACTTACCAAAGACCTCAGAATGCCACATCGTCCGTGTTTCAATGACGACTCTGACAATGAAAATAATGAATTATTTACACCAGTGCCACGACATAACATTTCTCCAGTGTCAGAAGACTTTGTACACACAAGTGTTAATATCTGTAGTGACGATTCAAAATATAATTCTGAGCAGACGACGATGAACAATATACAAATGCCCCTATGTGCTTCTAACACTGCTGTACAGCAAACTCCGCCCGTCGTTGTTCCAGTTCCAAGATACGCTGTACCAAATCCCTCATCTTGTGTTCCGCTCCGCTGTCAAGAGTACCATGTGCCTTTCGTAGGTACATTTCATCTGGTTGACATGTACTATAACGGACAGATTATCCATCAATTGTACCCATAAATCATATAAAATGTGATAGTGAATACAAAATGATGCATTGAAATGACTGGATATTATATAGTAAGAGGGATACATTGTGTTGTATGTTTTGCTGGAAAAATTAGGTCTAGTGTGATATTTTCACTGATTTGCTCTACCCATTAAGAAAAAATATGTTTTTATAAGTGAGATTCTATATGTGTGACTCACTATTTTGTTGACTGTAAATGTTACGCTAGCATATAAACACAATGTAAGAGAAATAAAAAAGTATATTTTTCCACGAAAGCTAAAATATTCCATATTCACTCAAGGCAAATGAATAAACTGTACGGTTTACATTTTTCCATGTCATACCTTGACAAAAATATATCTATATGATGTTCTTTCAGTGTAAATTATTCGTTGTAATTTTAAACTTTTATAAAAAAATTCAGAAAACTCTTTTTCAAATTCAGATTATGTATTGTTGAGTGTTTTGTTATATCAAATACACGCACAAGTGTTTTGTTAAAAGAATATGCTATTTATATATCTTCAAGAAATGCATATACTTAGATCAAATGCAAAATTAATTTAGCAGATTTCATATTTAATGAAAAGTAATTGTTCCGGACAGGGCCTTAAGTTTCCGGGAAAACTACTGCATATTCAAAATTTATCAAAAGATAAATTGATATTTTAACACATTTCACATGTATAGTTTTGTATATACAAAGTAGTGACTGTGTTTTTGTTTGCGTAATTTGTATGCAAAATAAAGACAAATGTAATGTGTTAAGTTTGAGAGCCTTTGACTTAAACAGACTGATACAATTATAAAGTAGTTAATTGATATTTTAAATATTGTAGTTAAGTTTCATAGCTGATTAAAAATGGATTCAAAAACTTTATGTCGTGACCACTCATCATTTTTGATGTCTAAATATGATAACTACAGCACAATTTCATATACAATATTTTCTCAATTAAGTCAATGATAAAACAAATTTAAACCCATGGTTATTGATTTTATTTGATTTTGCAATCTAGCTATCTAATTTTTAAATCAAGAATGATTAGGAAACTATATGCTTGTACTATTATTTGTGCATAAATTTAAATTGAATTTAAATCAGTTATGCTATTTGCAGTTGTTGGTCAAATGTGCATTTTGAATTTACTGTTATCTTATGTATTAATTGATTGATGAAATGTGCACATCGATCTGAGATTTAAACCACATGACATTGAGTGTCAAAAATTTGTCAGTCAGATAGTTAGATTAAACCTGCTGTATGTATAGGTTAGAGTGCATATTGGGTGTTCTTCGTAAATAAGAAAGCTAAAAAGGAGCGGAGCTTGCGAAGCGACTGTAGCTTTCTTATTTACGAAGAACATCCAATATGCACTCTAACCGGCTCTAGTGCTTCGCCCACATGCGTTTTATTATAAAACGTCCAGTTTATATAAAATCTGTTCTATTAAGATTTGTAACCTGAACATTTGAAGAATCCTCGTCGGTGATTGGCTTAAAAAAATTGGCGAGCACTAATGTTGTATGTAAAACATTCCAAAAAATATTTGTTAATAAATTGTGCATATTAAATCGTTAAATTAAACTTGTTGTATTGTTGTATGTATCAAATGTGCTTATTACATTGCAATTAACCTGTTGTTCTCTTGTATGTAAAACATTCCATTATATATCTGTTAATCAAATGTGCATATTAAATCGTTGAATTAAACCTGTTGTGTTTTTGTATAATACTACATTTTAATAAATATCAAATGTATCATAATATTTCTTATTTCATTAAGAAATAATTAAATTTGTAGCACACGTTAAAGTTTGCTACGGATTCTTTTTCCAAGGCTGACATGTTATTACTGTTAATACGATACGAATGTCATCATAACAATTTGAGAAATTAACTTGTCTTATTATGATAGATAAACTCGATATTTTGATAAACGAGGGATTATACACACAAGTCATTATTTTCGAAACATCACTGACAATATTAATATAAAACATTATCGTTCACACTATTGGTAGACAAGTTACTGGTTTAAACCTACATCAAACGGAACATTAATCTTGAAATATTATTTCCAGTCTCGCCATGTCAAAAAACCTCAGTGGAGTCCCTTTAATATTAGATATCAATACGTACAGCATAAAATGTATAATTAAGACAGCAGGTAAAACAATGCGTATAATAAAACATCATCATTTTTATTACAGTGTAAATATATAAAAATGTTAAAATTTGGAACAATATTAATAGGTCAACAAATTATATAAAAGTAAGTATCTGTAACAAACTAAAAGAACACTACCATCAAAATAATTAAAAAGAAACAAGTGCAACAATGTTGCAAAACCTGATATGTTAAAATTAATATTTGAAACCACATCAAATATGCCACCATTTCAGTTTTTTTTCACTATTTCAGTTTTTTTTCACTATTTCTGTTTTTTTATTATTGTTGTTGACATTTCTCCTAAATTTGAAGCGTCCGGCAATGATAAAAACAACAACAACGACAGAAAATCGTAACACACACTGTCATTAACGCCTAATTCCATAAAAATTGTTGATCTGAGATTCATTATAACCCAAATCGAACAATTTCTGAGCATATTATACATGTATACTTGCGTCAAACTTATGGTGATGTGTGACACAACCTGCATGCAAACGTTTTTACCATAAAATCAGACATTCTTTACTGTGTTGATTCTTTAATGTTGTGATCTATCTCAATCTGAGGCAAAAATACTCGTTTTGACCAAACCTTTAACAGACCCACTGTCCCCAACCCTACTCTCGATATATCCTGGATATGCTATAGAAGATAGACGTTCAATCAACGTAATATAGAAATATTACCCGAACTTCAAAAAAATATAAAAAATGCACGTATATGTTTTCTTGAGTATTGATACAATTATGGTGAAAAAACATCGAAATAGTGTTGATTTTAGTAAATCGTACAAACTTGCGTATGTCGCCATGGTATTTTTCTCTGAATAAACACATCAGTACTTAGTTATTAGTATAAGAAAACTTGTAAAATCTTGACAACACTGACAGATAAAATAATCACAACCGAAAATGCCGGTGACATATAAGAAGACGCTGCGCTGACACAATACTTTTCCTCCTCCTCTACCTCGTATCCGCTCAATTTCCAATTTCCACATTTTGGGAAATTCTTTGGAACTTTAGGCATGTCGTTTGGATTTCCAACTTGTATGAGAAGACCCATTCCAATATTCATGTGAAATTCAATATGACAGTGGAAAAACCAGAATCCTAAAATAAATGGAGTTGAGAAGTTAGTAGTATATACACCAAATAAAACAATTTTTATAATCATTTTTCAGACTTAATATAAGATTGGCTATGCAATTAATCATATGTATGTAATTGTTGGTTCTAACGTCGACAAATATAATTAAAGAAGATGAAATGAATAATTTGTAGCATGTTAGCAGTTACCGCCGTCTGTTATTCTCACAACAATCAACTGATTTTGGTTACAAATCAATTTTAGAGACTTTCACTAAAATACTTTTTTTGACACCATTTAATTAAAAAAAAATAACGTTGAAATTTAAAATGAATCATTTCTGTTGAACGTTATCTGTTAAGGCTATATAAAAACAAACTTTTTTGACAATGAAAAACATATAACATATCGATTATTCACATATAAGTTTACCTGGATTGTCTGCATAAAAACGTAATATCACATATCCACCATCAGGCACAGTGACCGAATCTTTGCCCACGGGATCAACAAGATTTCTAGTAAGGTTTCCCTGCTCATCTAGGCGTTTAACTTCCTCTATTGAAGTAGATTGCCCAAGCTTAAAACATAAAACTAGCGATTAACGTCAATCTTTTGACTTTCGAGAACTCACGGTCTAAAGATAAACACATTGAAATAAACGTTTCATGGCCCGGATAAAATAGTAGAACATTTATACGTTTGTGATAATGTTTAAGTTCATAAAAAGTTTGCTTTATGTTATGTTTTTATGTTGCTAATTTTTGTCACATTTTGTGTCGTATAGCTTAAACTTTTCTTTTTTGAATTTTAAGTCACACCGACACAGTAATGGTAATATAGCGACGTTCCAGCTTAAATGTTAGAAGACTACCTCAAGTGCCTCTCCGTGCATAGTTTAAGGCACGATCTTGTACCTAATTAGAACCACCGGCACTCCTAAGTTAGCTGGATAGCTCCCCAGCAAGGGGAGGTTGGTGGAAGTTAACGATCTTGACCACTAATGTCCCAAATTTTGACTTTCACTTTGTTTATTGAAAAAAAGCCAACTTATGATAGTTACATTTGTTCTATTTTCTTTCAGTATTTGTAATTGAATAAAACATCAATCCCAATTCTAACATATTTATAATTCAGTTTACACATTTCACATTCTAGATTTCTTCCGATTTTATATTTACATACCCTGTCCATGCCAACGACGTAGAACTTGTGACCATGTAAATGCATTGGGTGGTTGGCATTAAATGTAACACCTTCGTCAATAACAATTATCTCAACCGTGTCATTTAACTGAACATGGAGACGGTGAACACACTCACAAAACTCTTCTGTACAATTCTTCCCGATGCTGTCACTGTCACAAAACTCATTCTGAGAGTAAATTAATAAATACAAAGTTTTTTTTTTACTTAAAACGTGTAAATTATTAGCAATTTTATAGCGACTATGATAAACTCAATTTACAAAGAGACTACACTGCAAAATCACTTGTTGTCAGCTTGGAAATCATTCAATAAACACACTTAAAATAAACAACCAAGTGGGGTTCCTGCTTTATCACATTTTAAAACAAATTAAAGCTAATTCATCACAAAAATCACATCATTTTAAGCATCATTGTCAAACTAAATGCATGTTGTTTATGCTGTCATTTTGGATGAAATCATGGAAATGTAGACAAAATGAAAACGGATCATACATGACAAATATTTTCTGCTACATGATTGTTAAGATTGCTGTTTGGTTACCTTGTCTATATCGGAATGTTGTGAGAGTGGAGGTGACGAGGGTACCCTCATGGACACGTGATTTATCTGAGGCATGTATAAATGTTGAGGTCTTTCTACAGCAGAGATAGGGTAGAATGACACATCATGGAAATGATAGTTATCTATCTTATTGAAGTCCATGCCAAGGTAAAATTTCTTGTCGGCTACGTCTTTTAACCCAGCGATATTTCCACTCAGGCGTGACTTTAAGTCACTGACTTGAATGTTTGTCTCGTCGCCTTTCTTGTTCCATGGATTTAATATCTATATATTTGTAGAATTAATCTTATATATATATGGTATAAATGTAAACTGTATAATAGGAATCTTATTCATATAATCTTGTGGTTCTATTTGTCGTGTTTTTTTTATTGAACTGGTAATATTTGTATGATTAAAAATGATCTTACATAATTAAAGTCACACAATTTTAACTTAAATGTACAGGGCAATTCAGAAACAAAATTTTATATCATCGCAAAGAAATATAACAAAGCTTACTTATCATAAAATTTTACAAACACAATACAAAAATATCTTTAAACAAGTGCATAGAAAACCGTATATTTTATTATATACGCTTAATAAATATTTTCGTTCGTTTGATTTAAAGAGAGTAAAGTAAACAGTAAGCGACTCTAGAATTAAATTAGTTCAATAATATACACTGTATTACCTTCCCAGTTCTATCGGCGTCTTCCCATGTAGTACTTCCGGCAGGGTCTTCATCCGGGGCACCATTGTATCTTAATATAGCAACCTGTATTTGGAAATATATATAATATCAATGTAAATCTTCTATGGCACATTCAGTATTCTAATTTGTACATATATAAACAGATAACTGTTATGTACAATTAATGAGGTATCTTAAAATTTCAGCAATCAGCCATAACCGCTCAGGATTCGAATCCCACCTTCTTTGATTTTTTTTTTGTTCGGACGAAAGACGATGACACTCACATTGGTCCATGAACAGACTTAAAATAATCCAAGTATGCCGCGCTTTCATTTTTGCTGTGTTGTGCCATTTTTTTCTACTTTTCTCTTTTTTACGTTAAATAGCTTTTATAAATTTTTATGCAACAGTGAATACTTTTGTATTTTTAATTTACATCAAACCTTTGATAAAGATGGGTACATCCGTCTTCTTAAAAATAAAACACTTCTATCGTGTTGACACGTGTCAGTTTTTATAATCGTATCATTCCAATCTGACTAATGTTCAGATCTACTAATTTCCTACATGATGCGTATCGTTATTTAGGAGACGATTTTAATCAGATTGCGTATCATTCATATATAGATTATAAAATATCATATCTCAAGGTATCTCCCCTAGCCAAGTCTCTAACCTGTTTAGCCTGTTTAACACCGCAATCAGCAAGACCCCGTACTCTGACCCAGTAATTTCCCACAGCCTGGGACGCATTCAGTACGAAATCAAACCTTTCTCCGGCGAAAATGTTGAAGGAATCCACATCTATTTTATCGAACGGATTCCCGTCTGTTGCTATCATGGTAAGTGTGTGTCCATCAATAGAAACCTGCACATAATATTTTATGTCATTTATCTTTGTAAAAATTGTATGCATAGAAATGAAAATTATTTAAATTTGGTATGTATTTTTCAATACTGTTGAAATATAAGATAATCATTGAATAGTTAAAAATAAAGACACCAAGTTAATCTTTTCAATGCTTATAGAATAAGGTTGCTCTGAAATAAATAACAAATATCTCAATGCTTTTCACAATTTTTCTTTCTTAACGGAACCAACAGCATTAAGCCTTTGCCACCAGTATAGAGCCAGGCCAGCCTGCACATCCGTGCAGTCTGACCAGGCTCTATACTGTTGGCTGTCAAACTTTAAATATTCAAATTGATATCCCTAAAATTGATAATGGACAGTCCCAAAAATGGAAGTGGGACAAGTCCATTTAAAATATTCAGCATGTTAAGGGTTAATCAATAAAAAACTATTTATACATTACAACATCAGTCAGCCAAATTACGCATTAATGATCGATGCTGGCTTAAGTTATTAGACGCCATTACCTGTATTGGACAGTTGAGAATTCCATTGCTGATAGTTCTAAATCTGTATCTCGTACCACGTGTCACGTGGAATATTTCAACTGGTGTATAACTAGTGCTGTTTGCAGTAGAATTGAAAAATTCTTGCAATACTCCTTTTCCTGCAATTTGAAAGTTGTAAAATATTTTTCTGAACATTAAAGGTGAATTGTTTGCCAGATTTACTAAGTATTTTCAATAGTCTTTTACTCTAATATATTGAATAAACCTCAGGCGCGGATCTATGATTTTTTTATCAGAGATGGTCGCAAAAAAATAGCAAGGTTTAAAGCATATTCCGAAGAGGGGTTAACAATTTACTAGTTTTCCGGAGGGGTCATGAGTTAAAATATTGCTGACAAAGTATGTGCGTGACTTTCGCTAAAAAAGTATACTGATTTCATATATTTATTTAAGCTCGATTGCAAAACAAATTCTTGCGACGTATATTCATCACTTTCAAGCCCGCTTCCTAGAACCAACCAGTACTGGTGTCATATGAAGAAACATGGTAGTGACTCGATCAGGGCTCGATCCCTGGGCTGAGAGGCAGAAACCTTTACCATTAGGCCACCACTTACTTACCGTTAATGAGCATTGATCTAGGTTTATTATCACCTCCAGCTTGATGATGATGAGCAAATCTATTCATACTCATTTCAACTAGCCAATCAGATACCTGCATAGTATGCTCAGGTAGGTCCTCTTCGTAAAGACCCAAATGAGACTCGAACTCGATTGCTTGGCGGACAACGAAAGCACCATGAATGCCATCTGACCGTTGTAGTCCGGAATGAGCATGCCAGAAATGTGTTCCAGGATTGTCGGCTTTGAACCTAATGTAATAATGTACTTCTTTGTACATACACAACGCAATAATAAACATTATAGCACAAACTCAATTTACTAAATTAACATCATGTATCTTGTATAAAGATAATTGCTTGTATATGTTTATCATTCCATTAGACCCTAGTGTATGTTTATCATTTCATTAAACCCTAGTGTCTATTTATCATTCCACTATGCCCTAGTATATGTTTACCATTTCATTAGGCTCTATTATATGTTTATCATTCAATTACACCCTAGTATGTGTTTATAATTCCATTAGGCCCTAGTATATGTTTACCACTTCATTATGCCCTAGTATATGTTTATCATTCCATCAGCCATAGTATTCTTTTATTCCATTAGGTCCTAGTACATGATTATCATTTCACTAGGCCCTATTATATGTTTATCATTTTATTAGACCCTAGTATATATTAATCATTCCATTAGGCCCTAGTTATGTTTATTGTTTCATTAGGCCATGCCGAATAATTACAGATAGGATAATATCTGCTGTTACATAGCTAATGAAGTTATCAGTACATACATCATACGTGTCAAAACTGTAAATACATATGTAATAAATTTTCAAAATACCGATAATTGGATAAGCTGATTTTTATAATGACATGTATTACATGTTTATATATAAGAATATATATTATATCTATTAATTACTATATTACTGTTTCAATATGTAAATATACACAAATATAGTAATGCGTCTCTCTAATCAAAGTACTTACTTGTACTGAAATGATGCTCCTTCCGGTATTGGACATTGTGTTACCATAGCAACACCATCCATATGCTGGGAACCATTCTGCAAAATACCATGCCAATGGATGCTGGTTTCCAGACCCCCAGCTAAGTGGTTTTTGACATTCACAATCACAGTATCTCCTTCACATACCTTGATGAAATAATTCACCCTGCTTTATCCAATGTTTAAAATATGTAGGTAAACGACTTTATGATAGTTTTGGAGAGTATAGATAAGGACAAAGTAAAGATTATCGTTGCGTTTAGAAATACTCTATCAAACTCGAAAAATATCAGTTAGGTAGATGTACAGTAATATACAATATGATGTTCTTACATGTATTGCGGGTCCCGGCATCATTCTATTTACAACATTGATACCACGTGGCACGCCATCAGCTGGGATACAGTGAGGCCGGGAACAATCTGCCCTATTATATGGGCAGTCGTAGCAAGCCTTTGAGAGGGTGAAGTACAACTCAAGCGTAAAATCGTACGTACACGTCATCGGCCGATTCACTTGACATGATCGTATACAAGGATGAGATGTGTATGCTTCTAAATCTGTAAACAATCCATAGCAAAGTCATCAGACAAGATGTTGTTTCAGTAAAGCAATAAATATCTACATCAATCTAATTAAAATCAGCATAAGCGTTAGGTTCAAGACAATAACTCTTTGACAGTAGCTCTGAACATACGTCAGCTTTATCTTCACAGACATCTTGTTGTTGAATTATACATCATTCTGCATACTTCCATATACTAGTATTTGTTTACTTCATATTTGTCATAGGAATACCTCCGTGGTCGAGGGGTTAGAGTCGATGACTTCTAATCCAGTTACCTCTCTGGCGTGGGTTCGATCCCCGGGAAATGCTTTGGTAGTTTAGCGCGGAGGAAGGTAGTCTAGTACTGGTGTAACTCTCCAGGAACGATGGTTAGGAAACTACCCGCCTATATGACTGAAATACTGTTGGGAAAAGGCGTAAAATGAAACAAACAAACAAACAAACAAAATCATAGGAATACTAGTTTGTATTATGTTATGATATTTTAGTATATACACTGTATTTTCTTCTGAATTTCACAAAACTGTTCATAGAATTGAGGATGTTCATGGTAAGACAATTGTTGCACATTTATTCTATAAAAGTAACAATTGTCAGCTGTTATGTTATAACGTTTTAGTTTGTATTCACTTCTGTATTTCACAAAACTGTTACCCCTGCGAGCATTGCTTTGATGATTAAAAAGAGATTTCTGTTTGCTACCACAATTGTTGCGCATTATTTACTAAAATAACAGGAATTGTGAGCAATATACGTGTTGTCTAATTTTTAGTTATTTCGTTGTTAAACAGTTTGGAAATATAAGTTTGGGCACATATTGTTTCTATGAAGTTCAAAGTTATTCAATTATTACCTCGTGTTTGTTGACTTGATACATATATGAAGCAGCAACTCAACACTAAAACCAACATGTCTAGATGGGTCATTTTATATCACCAGTCCTGTTAACCAATGCCTGCTTTCTAGTGGTTACCGTCGCCTTTTACAGTTCTTCAAGCATTCGATTTATCTGCAATATTGAAATATAACGGAAGAAATGTAACGACAAAATCAGCAAAAATTGGTTTGGACCCCACAGCTTTACGTTGCAAGCATACCCTTCAAAATAATACTTTCCAGCAATACTAATAACCATCGCCGTGTTCCAGCAATACTCATAACCATCGCCGTGTTCCAGCGATACTCATAACCATCGCCGTGTTCCAGCGATACTCATAACCATCGCCGTGTTCCAGCGATACTCATAACCATCGCCGTGTTCCAGCGATACTCATAACCATCGCCGTGTTCCAGCAATTCTCATAACCATCGCCGTGTTCCAGCGATACTCATAACCATCGCCGTGTTCCAGCAATACTCATAACCATCGCCGTGTTCCAGCGATACTCATAACCATCGCCGTGTTCCAGCAATACTCATAACCATCGCCGTGTTCCAGCAATACTCATAACCATCGCCGTGTTCCAGCAATACTCATAACCATCGCCGTGTTCCAGCGATACTCATAACCATCGCCGTGTTCCAGCGATACTCATAACCATCGCCGTGTTCCAGCGATACTCATAACCATCGCCGTGTTCCAGCGATACTCATAACCATCGCCGTGTTCCAGCGATACTCATAACCATCGCTGTGTTCCAGCGATACTCATAACCATCGCCGTGTTCCAGCGATACTCATAACCATGGCCGTGTTCCAGCAATACTCATAACCATCGCCGTGTTCCAGCAATACTCATAACCATGGCCGTGTTCCAGCGATACTCATAACCATCGCCGTGTTCCAGCGATACTCATAACCATCGCCGGGTTCCAGCGATACTCATAACCATCGCCGGGTTCCAGCGATACTCATAACCATGGCCGTGTTCCAGCGATACTCATAACCATCGCCGGGTTCCAGCGATACTCATAACCATCGCCGTGTTCCAGCAATATTCATAACCATCGCCGTGTTCCAGCGATACTCATAACCATCGCCGTGTTCCAGCAATACTCATAACCATCGCCGTGTTCCAGCGATACTCATAACCATCGCCGTGTTAATGCTTTCTTTCTTGTCATAACGAAAAGAGATCTTTAAAACAGTGCTTGATTTATAGTCATAAAGCAATATCAAATTTGTTATTATTTTTCTTCAAAAATGTACATTTGTATTATGGTTGCATACTTGTGTATCGCATTTTACATACATTTTGTCTTATGTTTTTTTTGTGATTGAATCGATAAACTGGTCAACAAACCATTATTTATTCGATTGATTAGGTAATAATCATTTCTTTCTTTTCAAAGATTGTTACAATGCTACAAAACATACACTTATAACGTTGTACTTTTTAACCTAAGAATAAATCCTATGATACATTAATTTGGTTTGAATGTTAAGGTAGTTTTCTGTTCTTCTTCTCTTGAGATATCAACAAAGACAAGATTCGGTCCCACGCAATATTCACCCACTCATAATTTTTGTATCAAATCTTGCAGCTCAAAATACTTTTCTTTAAACTACATACACTTTGCTTACCCATTCGTATTTTATTGCTTGACTGTACCAACAACATACAACTTCTGTCGCTTGTTAACTTAAACATTTTATTAAATTCAGATTGCTTAAAAGAAATATATATGTGCTCGTTTTTCATACAGATATTACTTGGTTTCTCATTTTATCTTAATTGATCTAAATTTCTTTTTTCACCATCAATTTCATACTTTAGTTGAATCACTTGAATAACTCTTTTTTTTATCTAATGATATAATCGAAAATGAATTTTATTCAAAACATTATTACTGGTATAATTATGAATTTAAGTTGAAGGATTTTGTAATCATACTTTAAATTAGTTTCAATATTGACTCGGTTGACTATTTACCTTTATTTAAGTATAAAATCAAACTTACATCGTGTCAATATTTGCTCTTATCATCCAAAAACACCATACTAATCATTGAAAGAAACAAAATGCAGGCACTAGATTATTTGTATTCTAAAACATTCAAAAGCAAATGAAATGCTCAAAATTAGACCTCTTTATGCAAACAATATGTAATTCACCATTGTCGTAAAATTGTGAAAGTTGAAAAATAAATTATGCATTAACATACACAGGTTATATATTATTTAAGATATGTTTTCTTTCTATAGTGTATATAGGCAGACGGAATAAATTTCCCTTTGAAGTAAACATACACATATAACATGCAGAATGTCCATTAGATACATGACTTTGATTTTATTATTTCCCACGTCCGACAATATGAGTTATTTCAATTCTTGTATTAATAAAAAGTAATAAAATCTCCCGTTCCACCCAATCTAATTTCAAATAATTTCAAAACAAAAATATTTAAAGAATACTTAACAGAGACAAGCGGTTTATAGTAATGTTACGTTGTTGTTAACAGAGCACATTTCGCCTATAGCTGTGCTCTGTCCTCTTGCTGAAAATTATTATCTCATTATCAAAATCAATGTACATGTATATGTGAAATTTCAACAGTATCTGACGCATTACAATGTGAATTCATGTTGAAAGATTTTATGAGATATGAACCTAGCTTGGGCATGTGAACTAAACATTATTTGTAATATCCGGATTTTAAAGCTTACAGACGCTGTTTTGGTTGTATAACAATAAGTCTACCCACTGTTCTTTTTTTGTTTCTTCTTCATGTATGGGCTAAGCAGAACTAGCAATTTTTCGATTACCGCTCAAAATAAAATCTAAAGTACTTATATCGCATTCTTATTCGTATATATGATCTAGTTTATTAAAATAAATGATGTATGCATTAGCATGTTTTTTAGTTCTTCTCTACATATAAAATGCAAATGCTTTTGATATGAAAAAGTTTAACAAAATAGATATCAACATGTATATATTCCTCCCTACCTGTCAACGTCTCCTGATTAGTTCATTAACCTTATTGTGAATGAAACAATTTTTCTACCAACAAAAATAATGTCTGTTAACATTTGTATTATTTCGTTTGAACTTATTTTTGAATAGTCTGAATTTGTTAATAACTTCTGAAATATGTGTATATAAATAGTAAACACAATAATTTCTTTATGTCAGCAATAATATTCTTCAATATATACTATGCTCAAATTTGATATTTGAAAATATTGAAAATTGCTACACTGTCTTATTGTAAATATAAAATCAACATGTTTCGACTTTACAAAAAGTAGCTATGTTATGTTTTAAACTTACACAAGATACAGGAGGTCACCAAATGGCAGGTTTTTTTTTAAAGAAAATACCAACTTTACTTTGACCTGTAATAGGGAATACAGCTTTTCATACGTTCCTCTTATTTACTTAGATTTCAATAAATATTTGCGATGAAATTATTGTACTTGAAGATGAGGTTAGTATGTCTTTAACTTAATGTAAATAAAGATAAAATACATACGTTTTCGTTGGCATCAAAATCCAAATTTTTTATTAAGAACGAATTGTTAATTATTTTTTCACTGAAAGGTACTTATTTTTAAAATAGATATTTGAATAGGACAAGAAGAGATTTTACGTTTAAAAAGTTAAACCGATAATAAAAATGTAGATCGTATGCTGTTTGAATGCCGACAATTCAATAGATGATCTTGCATAAAAATGATTATAAATACAACGTACGTGATCTTAAAGTCAATATTATACTCCAGCGACTTTTATAGGTGTCCAATGATGCGATGGAAAGAAAACTTTTACTTCAGAAACTTATTTTCTCCACCCTTTTGGATTTTTAGGTGTTTACATACTTTGTGTAGGTTTATGATTGACTATTGCATGAAATTTTATACGCGACAATATTTTTCTTTGCAATAGTTGTATTGTTTTGTGAGTCGATCTCCTAAACTGTTGTGACAATTTTTTGTTATACACCATTTGAAATACTATTTCGGCTCTGGGGCTTATTTAAATGTAATAAAGAAGTTATTAAATAAGTGACTAAAAATCGTTACAAAGGAATTTTCAACTACGTTGGGCAAAAACGGTTAACATATAAATATAAGTAATTTAAAGTAGAACAAATGTTTAAACAAATAGAATGATATACACTAAATAAAAATAACATTACTCCTTAAACGTTTGAGACGAATAAAATTCTGAAACGTTTTGGGTTAAGTAATTATACATTGTATGAGTATTAACATTATTATTTGTGTGTTTTGAGTAACATATTTACCATACTAAATCAGCGATGATTGTTCACGTGCTTTATTGGAGACAAAGGCGAAGTGTTTTTGGCATTACTTATGTTAAATATCAAAATTTATTTTAGAATAAATCTACTCAGCATTGTAATTGCAAACTAAGGAATTGTGAAATTTATGCCAGATCTCGGAACAATTTTCATATCATAACAATGTACCCACAAGAAATTCTTTGAATGATGCCTATACTTATACTACAGTAGATTTTAATATGACACAATGTTAACGTAATTCAGGCGACTAAATATCTCAACGTGTAGGTTAGTGTTTATTAGTAAGCGTTTACAAAATTATATTGGTCAAGAACGGCACCAATTTAGTATTGAAATTATGTTTTACATAGTCGATTTACTAGTCTGACTTTATAGCAAATGTTTTATGATTCATTTGTGCTATTGGACAACAAATGATTTCAAACACGAAATATGTTTGAAACACGAACACAGAACAGTATTAAGTAGAACTGTTAATTTTCCATAATGATCAAGATGTTATTCCTTTGTATATATTTGCTCGACACAATTAAAAGTTCCTATTACAGTTCGATTATAGGTAAGAATTGCAAACCAAGCAAATACACAAATCTTTCTTGACAATTAAAAATTAATGGATGTTCAAGAAAGTAATATTTATCTTCAAATATCTTAAACATGAAACATGTCATCTTATATGTAAATAAATAATGAAACAGTAGAACTTATATTTTCCCCGTTAATTTCCGGATTTCTTCATGTAAATTTAATTTACGTTCCTTTGAGTAAAATATTTTGTCATCAGGAAAACAATATTTTTGGTTTGAATAATTTGCATCTGATCTTATGTTTTTGTGGGTTAACTTAATAACTGCTTTGTTAATTTCAGCAATCGGGGCTTCCATTAGTGGAAGTTTGGCAATCATTTACTCCTTGACTTTGGCTTATGACTTCCAAAATTTAGTGCGTTTCTTTCTTTAATTATATAATGCGACTTCCAATATCAGACGATTTGCAGTCTCTGACTTCCAAATTTTGAAACCTAATGGAAGCCCTGCAAAAAAGTGCGATAATATTCTGAATATTAACAAGCGAACAAAAATACAATCACACGTTTCAGTTGGTAATGAAATAAAAATTCCAGATTGTGTTTATGATAGAATTGAAAGTGTAAACAGAGGTTAAGCTTTACAAACCATGAAAGAGGTAGGTAGTTATATAGGTGCGATATCCCATAAATGTTAGAACATAAAGAAGCTTCACCGGTGGTAAAAAGGAAAACATTTCGTTCAGATACCGGAAAGTCAATGGAGATGATAATAAATTAATACAACATAAGTCATATAAAGGTCAATATTATCCACCAACGACTTTAATTGCTTGAATATAGAATATACAGTTGTCCACCGATGCGATTGAAGAAAATAACTTACGTGTTGATTTTCTACATTATTATGTTAAAGCGATACGGTATGTTTGATTATTTTGTAAAATAGTTTTATGTACATCTTTTCCACAATTCTATTCTATTTTGTAACAAGTATTATATTGTTATGGTTATTAAGCCCGGTATTTGTACATTATTGTTGTAATGGTCAATGCCATTATTTCACACACACACACACACACACACACACACACACACACGCACACACGCGCACGCACGCACGCACGCACGCGCCCGAGCACGTGCACGCACGCACACACATACATACACGCACGCATCACATTGCACACATACATAACTGCGCCTGCTGGAATTTGAAAACCAATATAGCGTACGCAGGAATCATATTATACCTTTAAATGGTATGTGTTAATTGCTTTGAAATAAAGTGTATACATTGTAAATTATTTCCATAAACAAAAACTTCAGTTGAAATAACCCTTTACAGTAACGATTGTTTGAAATCTATGTGCCATGTTAATAACAATAATCTAAAAAAAAAAATTTATTGAAAATTAAGAATGTCTAAAATTGATCATAAATAAATTCTTTTCTTCACTAACAAATGCTATTTATTTTACAAAATGAAATATAGTATTCTTATACTATGAATGATATAAAATGAGAGATATTTATAATGTCAAACTAATAAAAATCGACTCTTTCTTTCATGTTCAATAACAATCTCTGTATAATTCCACTTTGAAAATGATACGTCCGCTATTATCAGCAAAAAGGTAGAAGTAAAACATGAAACAAAAACAAAACAAACAAAAAATTTGAAAAGCAAAATTACAAACACGTTAAATTCAACGTTTTTACTATAATGATAACAAAGGTGTAACAAAACTATTGCCTTATTGAATTTTAAGATGATAATAAAGTCTTAAAGTAAAATTAAGGAATGTTTACATACGCTTTGTCAGCTTCAATTCAATGGAACAAATTTTCAATTCACCTTTAAGGTTGAGATCTTAAACTTGTTTTGGGACAACGTCTCTTTTTGACTTACTTTTTCATAAAACAAATCTGTGATCCGTGTCAATGTACTCGTTTAATTTTTTTTATTTCATTTTTTCCCATATCAAGGTTTATTTCTTACATTTCAAGTCGCAGGCTAATAAATTGACATTATTAAACAGATAGATATGGTGACTGATTTGTGCCATTGATGTTTTCGCCCCTGCCATGCGAAAAGTTGAGATATTAACTACTTAAAAGGCGGGGGCACGGAGCAAAAACACGATAATAAGCGGGGACGCGGGACAAAGTGTCGAGCTTTATTAGAATTATTTGATAGTTCTGTTTTAAGAATTATTTACATATATATTACAAATATATTTACAAACAGCCGTTTATATAGGGCCATATAACCTGTCAACGATCTTTATAAGTAATATTATAATACTGCACGTTTGTAACGTCATTTTTCATTGGATAATCGTAACGTTTATATCGTCCATATAAACGGCTGTTTGTAAATATAACCCGAGCCGCTAGGCGAGGGTTATATTGCAAACAGCCGTTTATATACGGCCATATAACATGTCAACAATCTTTATAACGAATTTATACTAGAGCAAACATCATTTTTTTTAGAGAAAAAAGTAAGATTTCTTCATGAATCGACAACAGCCATGTATATAAAACTATATAAACGTCACGATTGTCCAATGAAAAGCGACGTTACAAACGTGCAGTATTATAAAAAGTCTAATGCAGGTTTTGCAGCTGTGTGCGAGTCCAAAAGAATCAGTATTTTACCTAACCATGTATAATGACCCATTTTTTTTCTATTTTGAAAAAAAATTATTAAAATGAGTACAAAGTTATTGTATGGATATTTTGATATGAAAAAAGGTTTTTGGACTATGGAAATAAAAACCGAGGCAAAATGTAGTACAGAAATGATTTTTTTTTTGGAAATCACTGGAAGTTAATTGATTTTATTATAGAACCTTTCAATTTAATCAAGTTCAAGTTCAAATTTTATTTGCATTGCGGCAAATCCTTGCCTTTGGCAATACATACAAAACATATACATACATAGATCTTGAAATATAGCACACATAACTACAAGATACATATATAAACATTTCAAATATCAGTATTCGTTTTTAAATTAACAAATAACAAAGTAGTGTTAATAATATATCATTAATTTCGTCTATTTATCATTTGTTCCATGGTATTAGATCGTAAATCAAAAGCTTTGTCCAAGTACTTACTTATCAGTAATAATCTATGTTTATTATTAGATGACATGATATAATAAAACTTATTCAGTGTGGGAAAAGATGCATTACGAATAAAAAGTTTTCTTAATTCTGAATAAAATGGACAACAAAGCAGGAAGTGATATTCTGATTCTATCATGTTTTGACTACAAAGTTTACATATTCTCTCATTTCTGTTTAAACCTATATATCTGCCAGTTTCAATTTCTAGAGAATGGGAACCAAGTCTGAAACATGTCAAACGTTTTCTTAACTTGTCATTTTGTATTACATTTAGATATTCCTCAAAACAAAAATTTGATTTGAAATTCCTAAAATAAAAGAGTTTTGGCATGTTATTTATTTGCTCATGCCAATTTTGTATAAATTGATCTCTAAGGCGTTGTTTAAAAATTAAGCTAAAATCAGAAATAATATTATAGTTATCTAACAAATATGAAAATCCTAACTCATTAATAATAGTATGAGCTTGCCTAGCCCAGCATTTATTATTTCCATTAACACATTGATCTAAATACATGCTATATATAGGTGAATGCTGATTATTAACAATTTTATTCCAAAACTTTAATGATCTTTCTTTACATAAAATTGACAAAGGAAATTTACCAAGTTCTCCATAGACAGCACAATTAGTCACTTTTTAACACCAAGTACATATTTATAAAATTTTATTTGCAGTTTATCAATATCTTTATATTTGTAAATTCCCCATACATCTGAACCA